GGGATGAGTGCAGTTTGCTAGCCTATTTACTTAAGGTCCTCACCCTCCCTGGGGGAATGAGGGGATAACGGGGGGGGTTGGGGGAGGGCACGGGAGGAGGGGAGGGAAAGGGAGAGGGACCTGGAACTGACTTGTGAAGCAACCTTGTTTCTTATCTAAATTTAAACTGGAAAATAAAATTTAAAAAAAAAGACTGGAAGAGAAGTTTAAAGGAGGCCATATGTTTGAGAGAAACATGCCAATTTGGATGGTGCTGTCTCTAGCCCACATTGAACAAACACAGATCAATCCATACTGCATTGCATCACTCCAGCAATGCAGGAACAGACCACATCAGACCCAACACAGACTTACAGTAAATGGGTCCAACCTGCATTTCCCACAGATTATTCCATGGCATTTGTTTATTGCCTGAAAATTTGGAAGGACTGTACAAATAATGAACTTGTGTCTGAATACAGCACAAAATGTTCTTTGAGTGTGGCCCTGAAATTTTTTTCCTAACTAGAAATTTCAACATATGAACCTGTAAAGTCCCAGAATTGCACAATGGCTCTTCCAGTAGCTGAGCTTGAAAATTGCTGATGAACCCATCTTCCTTGTTGCCTACAGCTGAGAGGACAAGAGGCTCTGATTGTTCCATATGCTGGAGAATTAATGTAAGACGCTGAGCCCAACCTCAGAGCCCCCACCAAAAAAAAGAATGACTAACATTTAATACTAATAATTCTGATATTGGCCAAAATAGTGATCAGTGGATATTGTTATATATTTTGGTTTATGTTTATTTCAAAATTTTATGACATACTTGAGACAGTTCACCAAATTAATAATATGTGTATCCTCAGGGCTGTCAATTTTACACCTGGTATGTTCCCATAAGCCTGTCTATGCTGAAAGCATGTGCAAAATTATTACAGGTGTCTCATATTAGTGCTAGTTCCATAACCACCAAAGTGCTAATAACTCATCAAGCAAGCTTGCTAATGTAAAAAAAAATAGAGCATGGAAAGCAATAGAATTTGAAGTTTGTGTCATTAAATAAATGACTTCCAGGACATAACACTGGGAAGTAGTCAGAGTTAATTTATTTATAATGTGTTTTCAAATATAGGAAGAAGCCTGGGTAGATGACTGGGTCATTAAAGTTGTTTTGTTAGCCAGACAGTTGCAGCCCACACCTTTAATCACAATACTCAGTAGGCAGAAACATGCAGTTCTCTTTGAGTTCCAGGCCAGCCTGGTATGCATTCCTAGTTCCAGGAGAATCAGTGTCATGAAGAGAGATTATGTTTCCAAAACTAAGTAAATTTATTTGTTTATTTTAAAATAATAATTGTAAAATTAATGTTTATTAAAATTTAAGCAAACATAATGATATGATTTGTGTCCCCCAAACCCAGAAAAAAGCCAAGCATAGTGGCACATGCTAATCATCCCATAGCCCAGGAGGTCCAAACGAGAGGATCCTTAGGGTTCTCTGAATCACAAGAGACCTTGTCTCAAAGGTTTAGATGGAGAGTGACTGAGACAGACACAAGAACATGTTTGGGAGAGAGAAGGGAGGGTGATTCTCTGCAGATGGAGTCATCACAATGCTTTCATTTAGACTTGGTGTTACCTGGGAGCCCCTGTCAGGGTGCCCTGGAGGCATGGGGAAGCATACAAAACTTGGTAACGTTTTCCTGAGAGCATACATTCTGTCGGTGTTATACAAATTCAGAAACTACAAATTCCCCTGTATGCTTTTATGTAAGGTGCATTTTAATTTAAAAAGTAGAAACAAAAAAGTGGTATTTTAACAAAAAAGAAAACGTTTGAACAGGGGAAATTAATTTCACTGTGGTGAATGAAGAATGTAGACACAGCAACTTCAGGGTTAGGCCTGAAACGTTAGTCCAGAATGAACTTCTGACAGAAGCTCAAGTACCAGTAGCACAGACACTGAGGACAACAATCAATAAATGGAACCTCCTGAAACTGAGAAGCTTCTGTAAAGCAAAGAACATGTTCAACAAGATGAAAAAGCTTCCTATAGAAAAGGAAAAGATCTTCACCAACCCCACATCTGACAGAGGGCTAATCTCCAAAATATACAAAGAACTCCAGAAAACAGACATCAAAATACCAAATAATCCAATTTAAAAAATGGGGTACAGATCTCAACAGAGAATTCTCCACAGAAAAATCTCAGAATGGCTAAGATCAAAAACACTGATGACAACTCCTATGGGAGACCTTACCCTTTCTGAGGGGAGGAGGGAGGTGGATAATCGTATTAGAATCTAAAAAATAAAGTAATAAATGTTTAAAAAGCCAGGCAGACGTGGTGAATGCCTGTAATCCCAGCATTCAGAGACAGAGGCAGGCAGATCTCTTTGAGTTCAAGACCATCTCAGTCTAAAATAGCTACACAGAGAAACACTGTATCGAGGAAAAAAGTTTAAAAATTATCAATGTAAGATATATCATAGTGTAATTAAATTGAAATTCAGTAGAGAAAAGACAAGTAGCAAATCTTAAGCAAGGCTCAGATTTTCAGCTGTGGTGGGACACACATACACACACAAGATTGTACACACACACATGTAGATATGCATATATAGATAGATAGATAATAGATAGATAGATAGATAGATAGATAGATAGATAGATAGATAGATAGATAAATCCCAGAACCTAGGGAGACCAGGGAACAAAGTTCATGAGTATCGTGGAGGCATTTTAGGCTAAAACAATAATAACATAAAGAGAAAAATGAAAATATTATATCACTCCTCCAGTTTTACAACAGATTATTTTTGACTCTTTTCAGATGAGAACATCATTAAGCCATAGCTCTAAAAGGCAGAAGAAAAAAGTACCATAATGAGTTAAGATGGGGCTACTGACTTTCTTAGTGTTATGAATCTCATCCAGACATGGGTGAACATATTGGACATCTCGGTCACTGGAGGGAGACAGCCTGGAGTGCTTTTTTTTTTTGGTATTTATGAGACAGGGTTTCTCTGTATTGTTTTCGAGGCTGTCGGTCCAGCCTGGCCTCGAACTCACAGAGATCTGCCTGCCTCTGCCTCCCGAGTGCTGGGCTTAAAGGAGTGTGCCACCATCGCCCGGCAACATGAAGTGCTTCTTAACTGAACAGTTCTATGTATCTGCCTCCCTGACACGTAGACCCTGGTTGTTCCTCCAGATTTCATTGGCTTCTTGGATGAATCATCTCTACATCACTTGTCTGCCTGGCTCCATAGGTTGCCTGCATTCATCTCCTCTTTACAGCTGGTCCTACTGGCTACACCAGCTCCCAGGATCCATGTTCTCTGCACATGGTGTCCAGGATATCCCCTCTGGTTCCATCAACATGTGGTCCACTATTTTATTTTTTTCAAGATTATAAAAATTGGTTTATTGTAAAAGAAATTCAAGATAACCAGTTAAATTTTTATCCGCATGCTACCCACTACATCCAGGAAGCATTAAACACTTTTACATCAGCAAGGACACAAGACGACATTGAGGCCGTGATTCAGGGAAGGGAAGGGTGCTCAGGTCCCCGCAGTCAGCACAAAGGGTGTGGTGAGGCCAGACAGCTGTCAGGCACCAGGAGCTGCTGGACACTGAGGTATCACCAGGCAAACAATCCCCAGGGAGGGAAACCGCACCTCACTTCGTGGGCAAGCTTAAGTGACTCAAAGTTTAGGAACAACTTCTTTACTGACAGCAAGATGTGGGCTAAGTGTTTACTGGAGAGAAAGAAGTTCATGAAAGCTTTTCTATCATGGCCCCACTAACCTCGCCAGCCCACCTTCCCACCCTCCAAGCACACTACAGTTCGGGCCCGCAGAGGATGCAGCCTTACTCCGTGCTTACTGGCAAACTGTAGGCACTCACCAGTGTCCTATGGTCTGCACACTCACTGCCCACTACTGAGTTTTAGAATACAATTTCATTTTTGTTCTAAACTAAATCCTCCTGGTGACCATTTCCCCAGACCTAACTCAAAGGTGAATCTTCAGCTAGTTTCTTAGTAGAAGCCTTAGGGTCGATGGCTACAAATGACTATGAATCACAATGTATAATACACTGGTTCTGACTATGAATCATCATATATAATACACTGATTGCATTTTCTGAGCACTCAAAGTACTGGATAAAACTTTCCTACTTCCCTTCCTGTGCTACACTAGATCAAAGCGCCAACAGATCTCCACCTTCCTAAGCTGAGGCTTCCCACGGCAGCTTTAGCCAGGGAAAGGGGATGGGTTTTTTTTTGTCTGCTCATTAAAAACCCTTGAAAATAAGGGATTCTCCTAAAAGCATACAAAGACCCTTAAGTGACAGAGGTGCTAGCTGGTGCCACTACAATTCATAACCAACTACTACACATCATAGCTTATACTGAAAGGTTAATTCATGCTTATTTTGTTCCTTTAAAAAATACTCTTTGGAAGCCATCACATACTCTAGTAAGCTCTCTCCTTGCAAAAATAAAGACATACTCATGCTTATCTCTATTTCTTCACTAAGGTCAACTACCCCCACACACTTACTTGTCTGATCACGTTACCAGCCAACCCATGACCTCACAGCCTCCTGCACACTCTGCCAGGGTCCATTTGGCAAAAAAGTGTGAGCAGGTCCTGTAAAAAACGATCTTGTAGGTAACACTCAACCCGGTCTTAATTGTGACCACGACAAATGAGAACTCAAGTACCTGAGTTCACATCGCAAACTGAGGAGGCGGCAGAGGGAAGGTCTGCTCCTGAGCTCACTCTTGCTCAGTGACTGCCCCGTAGGAAGTGGTCCCAGGGGAAGTGAGGCCCGTGTCAGCTTCCATCCTAGTGTAGAGGACAAGAGAGCTCCTCTAGGCTCCACCACCACAGGAGCCCTTTCCATAAAACGGCCCTACCTTGAACACTTGCAGGTTGCCAACAAGAATTTAAACTATTTGTGAAACATAAACCCACTAGTCATGTATTCTAAATGTGTACGCTCAAGGCTACCATTTAAAAACTAAGCTGGAAAGGAGGGAAACCTTTAAAAAGATACATTCTGCTATCCCACTACCATAGACATTATAAGTGTGTGTACATATGTAGAAAGGAGATAACCAAGATTTAAATAAGATGTAAAAAGCCAGGAAATACAGATTTCCTGCCCCCCACAACAGTACTGCCCACCCAAGCTATAGCTATAAACAACTTTACTAATTTACCTACGTTCCAACAAAACCAATCACCGAAGGAAGGAAGGAATCGAAGGAAGGAAGAAAGGAAGGAAGGCCACCAGCACCCAAAAAAATACCCACTCAAACCTAGCCTAGAGTATGTGGCAATAATTAATATATTTCTATGGAAACTGTCTCATGCCTTAGAAGCTTCTAAAATAAAATCCAGGTCACCATGTGACTAATGGCATCACCAGGAGAAGAAATCAAAAAAGTCCACCAGTCTTTGAGATCTCCCGATTGGCACTGAGTACTTAAGATCAGATGCCATGTTTTTGGCTTGTTGGACCAGAGTGCCAAAGGCAACGGAAGAAACCACCTTTTATCTTGAGCAAATGCTCTGACACGAAGCATTTCAGTCCCCAGTCTGAGTGTTCATTTAAAACAATGTGTGAGGACACCACTGGGCAAAAGGGAGAACACCATCACCCACACAGGGTATTCTCCAGCAACCCCAGAGAATAGTAGTTATTAGAGCAAAAGAAACCAAAGGGGCTTTTTGTTTTGTGTGTCTGATTCTTCAGGGCAGGCTGTGAACAGGGCAGCAACATTAACAGCAGCGACGGGCGGAGAAGAGCAGAGCAGTGGATGATGGAAGGTCCCTGCTGGACATTTGTTCATCGGTTTCCTGTATTAGCCAAAGACTTGACACCACCGGCTTATCTGAATTTCAGGTTTGCACATCTTAGGCTCCGTGGATCCTTCACAGACTTGGAGAGTGGCTTCCTGGCAACTCTATAACCATGTGAGGAAGCTTTCTTTATCGAGCTTGGTGGCGGCCAGCACGGACTCCATGTCATTGAGGATGTCAGAGCTCAGGGCTTCCTGGAGGCTGAGCATCAGCTCCTCCCCTTCTATGTTCATCACATCTCCTTCCAGTGTTCCGAGGTCCACATTTGTCCCAGGGATGGCTTCAAGGTAGTCTGGGAAGCGGCTCTGCTGAGAAGGCAGGGTGCTTTGGTTGATAGTGTCACCTGTATCCATTTCATCAACACTGTTCAGGAAGTCATCCGGGGTCTGAGGGACGCTGTAGCTACTCATGCTGAGGCCGCTGTTCGTGCTCTCGTCTCTAGAGTGATCGGTGCCACTGTTAAGAAAGGGATCTGAACTATTGGTCGTCATCGTTCTCAGCTCCTGAGACATCCCGGGAGAAGACATGGCATTCTGAGTTCCTCCGTCCGGCTCCAGCGTGGGCAGCTGGCTTCGGAGAGCTAATTCCTGATATTTTGGAGCATTTGCTGTGCTGGGATTGATATTCCGTATTGCCTGCCGCAGTAATTCTTGCTGCTTCAACCGCAGTCTCTCCTTCTCCATCTGCAGCTGCTGCAGCTGCATCTGCTGCTGCTGGCTGGAGTTGCCACCACCCAGGACGCCTCCCTGTGGGCTCTGGGGAGCCAAGGGCGGCGGCTGCTTCACTGGAGCGCTCTGAGTAATTTTCTGGTTCATGGCAAAACGAGGGTCAAGCCTTGGGTCCAGCCAGGACGTGGTCTTGTTCTTATGGTTTATGTAGTAAACGTCTCCATCCTGAGTCATGGCTTGCTCCCAGCCATCAGGAAGAGGTCCTGAGGCAGAGTTCATCAGGGTCTGAGGCACCGCTGTGCTGGCAGGCGTAGGGACGTTGAGTTGGGAGAGCATGGCCTTCCTGGGGTCCTGCCATGTTGTTGTCTGGTCGATGTGGTTTAAGAAGTACCTCTGACCCTGACCCGAAGACATCTTGGCCATCTCCCAGCCTGCGGGCAGCGGTACATCGTCAGGGATCTCAAAGGAAGACTGGCGGAGATGCTGGGCTGCAGGGGTGGCGCCTGGGCCAGAGACCACAGCAGGGGACAGAGTCCCAGGAGACAAGGCGCCCAGCTGCAGGGATGCAGGGGAGGAGTGAGCACGAACGTGCTGCGGGGTCAGAGCCGCTGCAGTGCCTGCATCGGTGCTGGCCTGCCGCGAGTGGGACTTGGGCTCGGGCGGCTTGAAGAATGAGTCGGGCAGTTTGCGCAGCCGCATGGGCACGGTCTGCGGCACGTTGGCCGTCTTGGGGTTCATGATGGCGTTTGAAGAGCGCCTCCAGGTCGGTCTCCGAGTCTCCGCGGACATGCACGACTTGGTGGCTGGCCGGGGGCGCGGGCGCAGACGGCGCCTCGGGGCCTTGCGGGGCCGGCTGGGGCAGCGGCTGCTGCGCGGGTTCCATGGCTGCGGCCTCGCTCAAAGCTTTCCGCCCGGGGAGCTGCGCTCAGGCTCGGGGGGCCGCGTCGCGGGCCCGCATGGCCCTGTGCTCCTCCATGCCCGAGGCCGCCGAACCTTCCCTGCCCTCCCCGGGCTCCTCCCGGCTCCCTTTCTTCGCCCAGGCCGCTGCAGCGTCCCGACTGAGACAGTGGTCCATGCTTTTATACACAGAAGAGTACCCATGATGTTTTGGTTTTCTTACCTTGGCCCACTCTTTTTCACTTCTTCCCTGCCTCCCTCCCTTCCCTTCCCTTCCCATTTCTATAACATGATAAATGAAAAACCCAGAGACTGATACTGGGGATAAAACTTCAAGCTGAAGGTTAGGAAAGCAACGCATCTGGACACTAGCTCTTACTCTAGTTCAGAATGAGAGGCTATCCTGGCTCCACTGATCCTCAGACTATAACCTCTCCTCAGTGTGGCTAGAGAATCCTGAAATCTCAACGTCTTCCTATCCTCAATGTGGCTAGAGAATGAAACTTTGGTACTCTGCTAAAGACCCTGCACCTATCTTTTGTTCCCCTGTACATGTGATTCCAGGTGCTAAGACTGTCTTTGTGTCAGCTACATAAGTGAGCATGTGGGGTTAGGTCTGGGTTGAGGGACAGGCTTGCACTCTCTCTTGGTTTTGGTCAGGTCACAGAGGTCAGTTGATCTTGGATGTCCAGAGAATTGATCCTGGGTTATTAGCTTTCATGTAGGTGATTTCTTACCAATAAAATTAATCTACACCATTCCAACCCTGTGTGTCATAATTTGTACAACCACACACAATGAATGTCCTATTAACATAAAAGCAAAGAAATGAGATCCCAAAGAAACATGTTCGAGTCCCACTGTCACGTAATTTGGTAAAGCTGAAATATCAGCATGACAAATATCAACTATTAAAGTATAATGTCTCTGAGTCCCAGAAATTATATTCCCAAAAGTAATATCTATTTATACAGAGCTACTGAGCATTAGCATATTTCCAGTGATACGGAGTTCAGGATCTTTGAATTAACATAGAAATCATTTTTTATAATCATATGGAAATACCTTTGATGTTTTGTGAAAATAAAATATTCATAGAAACTGCAGATGGATGTATAAATGTGAGGAAAAAACACAAAGTTGAGTTTGCAATATGAAACTTCGCTTAATAACAATTGAGCCAAAGAAAATGGCCTAAATAAGAATCCTTCCAAAATGATCCATTTTATATGTACTGATTCCTAGTGAAAGTCACTTTTAATGTGACAAGCATTATACAAATCTTACTATTAAAGAGAATTAAATAATTACACATAATTATAGCATACAAGTGATTCTTTAACGAGATAAACTCAATGTTTATACTCTTTGAGGCTTTTTATTCATATTTATACAGATATGAGAATGCACATTCCTCCATTGGTCAGAAAAGTTGTGGAATTTCCTGTCGATGGAATTACTTATAGTTATGAATTGCCACTTGGGTGCTGAGGCCTGAACTCAGGTCCTCTACAAGAAAAAGAAGTGATTTAACTACATAGAGATAACTCCAGCACAATTCTAAATGACTTTTTCTACTTTAATTTTATTCATATCCTCTCTCTCTCTCTCTCTCTCTCTCTCTCTCTCTCTCTGTATTATAAGTGTTGATACTGAATATTTTTGAAGAAAAATTTATGAGTACAACTTACTTCTTAATATAAAACTAGAGTTTGGCTACTTATAAATAGGAATGAACAAATGGAGAAAGTTACCTGGCTTTTAGTACTTAGTCAAGAGCTTCAAAACAGGTTTTCAGCCTTTCATACCAATGGTTAATCTGATTTTTCCTCTGTAAAATGGAACAGCTGCCATTCACATCTTAGAGTAATCAGTGAGATATCTGAAGCCTAACGTGCAAGCATAGCGTAATTTTCACTGCATAGTTGTTATAGTGCCTACAACTTGGGTTATTACTACTATTAATGCAATACAAATTTGGAAAAAAAGATAACCAATGTATTATTTGAACTAATGCAAAGCTGAGAGTGTACCAGGCTGTAGACAAGAATGAGCATGGACAGATATGAAATTCTTCATATCTCCCACGTCCATTGCTCAGGCCAGAGGACATCTGCTTACTGCTCATAGTCTCCCACAAGGAACTCTAATATTGCTTCTCATTAATTAATAAATGTGCAACAATGATCCCAGAAGACAAAAATATATGACGATATGGGCCTTGGAAATATTAAAGATTGAGTACACTAAAGTATATGATGTTTTATCTCCTGTTATAACACCTAATCATCCTGATGTTGTTCCATACTGACAGATGAAGACACAGCTGCACAGAGGATAATGAAACTTGATGAAGTTTTAGTCACTAAATACTGAGGGTGAGCACTGTTGTTCAGCAATCATGAAGGTATATTTCTTCATTTGTGCTTATTAATTAATTAATTAGTTAATCTGTGTCTAATAATTAATATTGTTTAAAAATCTACAAATATGACTTAGAGATTGAATTCTTACAGACTATGTCAACTGACATTATCAACAACTAATACTTTTTCTTTCTCCATTAACTGGACTCCTCAGTACTAGACATGTAATTAGATTTTCCAACCCACAGATGCATAAAAACTCAAAAAAACAAGTAAAACTATAGCAAAAGTATTATTGCATAATTACATTCTCATTATAAAAAATCATTCATTAAGTACTGTTATTCCCTTAGTAATTTATTACCACTAATTATATGACCTTCAATTATGAAAATTGTTTTAGAAAAAGAGATACACTTTAAACAGAGTAAGTTATGAATACCTAAATTGTTACAGATTTTCACAATAATAAAACAATTAAAATTTAAATTAAAGCAAAATGAAATGAAAACACAGTTTTATATGCATAATACAAACAAGACAGATACAGCTATTTGTAAATAAGATAAATGGGAAGATGACTGGGCAAATATGTGACAACATTAGATTTAGAAAGCTTTTCCTAATATATGAATATAAAATGTAAAAAGGATTCACTTCTTACTAACTCACTAAAGTTTCAATAGATCATATGAATAATTTAAAAAGAAAAACAATTATATATGTTATTTGAGGGTAAAATCAATAAGTATAAATAATCTAACTATGGATTGTACTGTAAGGTTTCATGTAAGGAACTATATTGCTGGATATTTGCACACAAAAGCAAAATTGGTACAGAAGATTGTATATCTGGGTAATAGAAAGAAATTTTGCTTTGCTATTGGGGACAGGTATGATAATGATGAATTTAAGAATAATTTCATTACCAGAAAGCTGGTCATCTTGAAGAGGTTTCTATGTGGTACTCAAGGTAAACAGCAGCCGTCTGTCATGTTCAGATCCTTTCTCACATTGAGTTTGTACAATTCAATGAAAGGACTCTTTATTAAATTTGAATTTCTATCATGTTCTGAGACAATTATACATTGTTGACATATAGCATGTAAACATTGTGTCTCATGCTTTTTTCTACAATGTATATAATCTGTAAATGATACTTAATATCAGATTTTTTAAAAAAGCTTGTGTTTTGTACTTTTCTTTCTCAAGTAATACCCATCCCTTTTTCATGTTAAAAACTTCATACAATCAATTTTAGTCAGGGATAGTCATTAGTCAAAGGGTTTCTAGCTGCAGGTCTCATTTGAAATACAGGAGGCTGAAACAAAAAAAAAAACAGAAAACTACATTCACAACTTATAATTGCAATTCATGTAGAATACAATCTGTGGTCAATTTTCTCTCCTCACTCAAACAACTTATAATTTCTTGCTTCAATACGTAGTCATGAATATATCAATTGTCATAAATTAAAACACATTGCATTGCTGGAGATTGTCCAGGCTGTTCTGTGTATCACATTTATCAGTTTGTGAATTATTCAAGAAAGATCTTACTGACATGTCAGAAATAGTCAACTCACCTTGCAAGAAAAATAAATTTACTGTGATCTCACATCTCTACTCAGGGTCTGTTCTCAAGAGGGCTTGCTTTGATGTGTCAAAATATTCTGTGGTTTATCAATGCTTTTTGCTAATGCTAAAACCACAATGAAAAACTAAGTTCTTCTGGACTCTGTGAATGAGCCCAGTGTGCCATACACGCATACCATTGAATATCCATAACACAGATGTAACATATATGACATGAGTTATCATATACACAGATTTTTATACCACCCTATATTCATTAACATATACACAACACACACACACACACACACTCCCACTGACGTGTCCGTATGGTTTCACTCATCGCAAATCCTTGATGATCATCCTGCTGTTTTGGATAGGGACATGACTGAAGTCCTGCAATAGTAGAACAGGAAAGTTGAGTAGGGGGAAGAATAGACGAGAGAAGTATGAGAGATACCATAATAGGAGAAGCTATTATAGGTTTGAAGAGAGATCTGGTACCAGTGAGATGTCCAGAGGCCTACAAGGATGACACCAACTGGCAACCTAACCAATAGTAGAGAGGCTACCTTAAATGCCCTTCCTCATAATATGACTGACAACTTCCTTGTGTGCCATCCTTGAGCCTTCATCCAGCAGTGAAGGAAGCAGAGACAGACACCCACAGCTAAACACTGAACTGAATCCTGGAACCCAGTTGCAGAGAGGGAAGAATAATGAGCAAAGGAGATATGACTGGTTGGGTAAAACCCACACAATCAGCTGACCAGCATGGAACTGATCCAGATCCCCTGAATGTGGGTATCAATGAGGAGGCCTCAGCATCCTTTGGGGCCTCAGGCAATAAAATCAGCATTTAGACCTGTCATCAGATGAACTTTAGGAGCCCATTCCACATGGAGGCATGCTGTCTCCTCCTGGACACATGGGAGAGGGCCTAGGCCTTGCCCCAGATCATATGACAGACTTTCAAGATCCCCCAACAAGAGCCCCCTTCCTTGGAGAGTGGAGTGGGGATTGGGGAAGTGGTTGGGGGAGGGTTGAAAGGGGCAGGAGAA